AAAGGTGCTTTGAATTCTTGGTCCAACCTATTTGTGTAAATTCACAGCATTTGAGTCAGAATGAGAAAATAAATCTTGGTGTCTCAGTCTGGTGATTTCTTCTCAATAACATCTTGCTTTTGCTACCTACAGTCACAATTTTCAGTTCAGTCTATCCTCCAGAAATCCCATCCATATGAGAGAGAAAAGGCAAACACAATCTGGGAGAAGAGCAATGCAAAGTGCAGCCCTGTAGAATTTCCTCTGGTAATTGATTCTCTGTGTTTACAAGACAATACACAGTATCATTTATAAAGGCAACATATGCAGGTTATCCAGAAGACAACATCCCGACAAAGAAAGCTACTTGAAAGAGCTTTGCACACCAAATTACTCCATGCATATTCATAACTCGATTAAAATATTAATATTGTAAACTTGTAAGAAACACAACACGCCCAGAAACAGCTTTTATTTACTTACACCAGAAACTGAACATGGCACACGCACAAAGGATGTCAGCATTAGTCAGTGCTCTAAACTCACACGTGTGCAATATATATCTGTATATTAGCCTGCAGATAAACATTGATTCCCAAGGGAGGCTGCTAATGAGACTGTGCTGTGGGGAAGATATCCAATTACTCCAAACGACATTTATATTTTAATCACATCACATGCACTGAAGAGCTCGAGGTTTGATGAAACAATCCTTGAAAGACTTTGCCTTTTTAATCAATTAGCTCTCTCAACATCAGTGATGTGCTGTTGACAAGTCCTTGGGATAAATATACAACAACACACGCAAATCCTCTCTCCCTGCCAAAAGTGTGGTCTTCTGAAACAGCTGCAAAAAGTTTTCCTCATAGAAGACACCTAAAGCAGAACACTGAGAAATAAAGACACCCCTCAGGTTCATCCTGAGCTACCACTCAGTGAATTCATTTTAGGACAGATGAAAAACTTTGTTTTAAGGGCATCACTCCTGTGTAAAACTATCAGACTTGCTCACAAATCTTTTTAGAACTGGCTTATCTGAATAAAACCAAGTCAGTCAAAGCAATTGGCTTTCTTCAAGCAACCCATAAGTGACAAATGCCACTGCACGCAAGAAGATGAAATTCTGGTCATTTTTAACATGTTTTAGCATTAATCAGGCATTTTAAAATGCTCCAAGTCATAGAAATAAATATAAAAATGAAGAAAAACAGGGCTGCAAGACCCTAATTCAATCATTCTTCAAATTAGCATTGGATTTTTCCTGTAAACAAAGTACATCCTCATGGCTGTTCTATTAAAAAGCCATTTCTACTTCTGAGAGCTTACATGACAAACCTCACTTAAAAAATAAAACTCAGTTCTGTACTCACAAATATTTCTTAGTAAGTAGAAACCTAAACAAACATATGAAGTGGGAATTGATCAAAGACGAGATTTGATTGGAAAATATTTGAAACTTCATAATGTCATGGACAAATTAGAGTGTGAGAATTTTCTCCACCTTGGAATTAACCAACCACCCGTGCTCCATCAGATCAGTTCAGCCCAATCAAAAGGGGCAAGGATACATACCTTGAAAACTAAAAATTAATTTGATAGTTAAGAAACCGGGAGAAACTGTGGAGCAGAAGAGAAATATCATTATGCTTGCAGTTGGTAACTTGAAGTTTGAGAGCTATTTTGCTGGAGGTACTCAAAGAATACCTATTTAATTTTGCAGTAAAGTGTGTATTTAGGTGTATTTTTTACTGCAACCACTTGTTTTTGGGTTTTGACTCTTTGTTGTTTGGAGTTTGGGTTTGTTGGCTTTTTTTTTTTTAACTCCTGCTTCTCAATTTCAGGCAGACACAGCCTTTCTGATAAACCTGTTCTAACTAATCCTTCCTTCAATACTACTAAATCCTGAGGGCTAAAATGCCCTTTAGCACAGATCTCTGTGAAGGCAGAGAAGCCTGAGTTGCTAAATTTCAATACCTAATCTGGTCTTTAATTGCTAAGTGAGCTCTCAGCAACTGCCATGAGCACAACACCTAGAACTGAGTCAGTTGTTATCATTATCCTCCCTAAATGGCTGCTGAATTCAACCAAATCAATACCCAACTACCAAAAATGTGCATTGCTTCTAAGGGTGCCCATCTGCAGGATAGAAGAGATCTTATATAACAAGTATAGGTTTCTGCCTTTGATGGAATGACTGACGTTGATAATTCTGGCAACTGGAGGGAAAAAAAAATGCCAGTCTTAAACATAGAAAACATGGCTGTTCTTGAGCTAAAATACATTCAAATTGGCAATACATTCAATTTCAGCAATCATCAACAGAAGTTTTCACACCTCCATTTTTTATGAAATGACATTTATTACCAAGCAAAGCTCCAGCGTGGAATATGCACCTTTTTCTTTTGCATTCTCTGGTACAAAATATGTCAGTCTATTGCTGTGAGTGATATGAACTGTTAGGTGGAAGCTCAAAGACATCTGGGAGGCACAGATGGTTCAGAACTCTCAAATAGCTGTGAAACCATTACCTTCAAGGTCAGGCTTCTGTCGCTATAAGGATTGGTAATGACACAAAGCCATCAAGACCTTTTCAGAAAGAGCTCCCTCTCTTCTGCCCAGCTCCTCATTTGCTGGCACTCACCACAGAGCTGAGCCCAGACCCAGCCTCAGCTCATTTCTGTTAATGGCATTCCTTTACAAGGCAGGTGGAACCTGTACAGCCTCTTCATTCCTAGAAATCTCTTCTGCAATAGAGCTCAAGTTGCTGCTGCCTGGATTCCAGTCCCAGGGCTTCCAAATTCACTCCTGAAAAGAGCTCCACTGAACTCGATGTTCTGTAAAAGTCTTTGCACTGGCTGTCTATAAAACCACGGGAAGCAGAGTGTTTAAACCTCTGCTACACAAAAGTTTCAAAATGTGAGTAATTGCCACTTTAGAAAACTGAGAGAACTATTGAATATTATCGCAATAGCAACAGATTACTTCTGTGCTAATATTATCTGAAGAGAAAAGCTCTTCTTTTGGTCAACCTAGAGGTTGTATTCCTGCAACCATTACCAGCAAATAAAGGGCAGCTCTTCATGGAACTAAACACTGACCTGAATTTGGAACACTTACCATGCTGAGTACTTTCAGATGTCAATGAATGTTCTGAATGACCTATTGAAATATCAGAATTATTCCCCAGAATCCCAATGAGGCAGGACTTGAGCTGCGTGAAAGTATGAGAATCTCTTCCACGGGCATTTGCCATTATGGTGACTCTAGCAAGAGCTTTTCTGTTAGCTACCCCTCTCCAGAGCATTTTGGAATTCATAAAGAGTGGTGAAAATAATGGAATCTTTTAGAGAGGAAACAAAGACAGAAGAGAAGCACAACCAAGAAATGACTAATTATGATGGCTCATGATTTACATATCATAGTAACAAGCTACATGAGGAGATCTCCTGCAGGGGTGGTAGAGGTGATGAATTATGCACACAATCATAAAGAGGAGAAAGGTTCTGATGTAGCATCAGCTCCTGAGGTCTTGCTCAGCCTCTAACTCCACATATTCCAGGAAGGAGTTCTGTTGAGAGGAATGGGTCTACCTTCAAAGTAAGATGCAACTGAACTGACAGATATCAAAGGCACCTCACAGGGTTTTGTTGCAAATCAAAAGATTAGCATCAATATTCAAGAGAAATGAGCACTGAGGGAAAAAAAGCAAACACCAGTAAATTGGACAAGTTATTAATTAACCATGAGAGGTTCAGAAAGGACCCATCAAAGCATTCCGTTTCACCAGGTCTAAGTCAATAGCTTAACAGATGTCCTATACTGCCTGCCCTGTGACCAACAGCATCCATCCCCAGGAAAACAAACCAGCCAACAGCAAAATCCCATCCTGGTTCTGTGATATTCCTGAGAGATCACAAGGACTGAGAACACTCATCTTTAAACATTAAGCAATGGAAATGCAAACTTATATATGAGTGGAACTTTTTCATTGTTCAAATGCGTGCAGAACACAAGCTGCATAAAAGAAAGGGCTGAAATAATGAAGCAAAATAATGTATACCTGCTTTCTCCTAAAAAAAAGGCTGAGAGAAAGAACGGTCCTGCGGCGACAGCTGCACATCTTTCAACAAACAGATTTTCATGACTTTCCCCCCTGCCCGAGAGCGTGCGGAGGAGCTTCCCAAATCCCCCGCGTTCCACCCCACACTCAGCCCGCGGTCCCTGCTCCGCTCCAGCACCGGCGCTGCAGCTCCCCGGCCCCGGGAGCTGCCAGAACCAGCTGTTGAGGCTCATTCACAGCTCCGCCAGGTGAGACTTTACCCCACAAGCTACAACCAGCCCAACGAAACCACCAGCACACCTCTGAGGCTGCGTTGTTTTGGCTGCCCGCTTTTTGCACACTTCTCTCACAAACAGCAGCTTCTCCAAGAAAAATTCCGCTCAGCTCTTCGGCAAAACGCCGGGGCTGGGAGAGTTCGCTCAAAGACTCACCTCGGGGAAATATTCCACCCCCGAGCATCCCAGAGTGGGGACCGGCGGTGCTGCCGCTCGCTCGGGCATCCCGAGGGGATGCCCCGGCTGGGTCCCCTGACCGCCAGAGCCCACCGGGCGAGCCCCGCTCCTCCATCCCCGCTCCTCCATCCCCGCTCCTCCATCCCCGCACCTCTATCCCCGCACCTCCATCTCGGTGCGAGCTACCTCCATCCCGGGGAGTGCGGGATGGAGAGCGTTGGAGAGCGGGGATGGAGGTTGTCAG